GTTGATGCTTATTGCACGCGCTATACGCAACTCTCGGAAGTACGCCCATGGAAACAAAGAAGTGCAGAGATACCGAAGGCGTTTATTACCCCGATAACATGCTATGAATGAAACACTGTACTCCGTTTCATTCCACGAAGGTCCACATCGGACGATCCAAGCCATCAAAGTCAATCCAAGTCGTGCAAGTTTCACGCGTGAACCTCAAGAAGGGCACCGCGACGCTCAGTCATGTGATACGTTAACAATGCTTGAGTAAATGAAATGTTTTTTAGCGTCGGCTGCAGTCTATCGTACGGGGAAATGGAGCATAGTGACAAGGAGAAACGCATACCTTGAAGCCTTTTCCTGAGAGCCTGGTAGGAGGTGGTCTGCAGAGCGTGTCGGTCGCACATTCAAACTGGTTCAACTCCCAACAGAGATTCCCCAACAGCGGGTCCATTAATTTGCTCCCTCTCTCTGTCTCTTCTGGCTTCAAAGCACCAGTATAACCAAACTACTAACAGTTTGCATCAATCTGCTCACCGATTTGACGAAACTGGTGAGGAGTTTCAAACCGCTCCGCCAGGCCGATGTGTGATGTGAACTGGTTTCCATGCCGCTTCGATAAAACAGGAAAGTGGCTTGATTAAACCCGTGAGCAGTTTGACAAATCTAGTAAGGAGTCTGACCAAACCAGTGAGCATTTTAATAAAATCTCTAAGAAGTTTCGTTATACCGGTAAACGAAGGTTTGATCCAGTTACCGATGTGCTTGAACGGGTACCGTTTTGAACCTGTTCGAATTTCAAACCTCTTTTTTACAGTGGAGCTGTTAAGGGCTAGGCTCCCAGGATCGTGTCGTGTATGTCGACGCAAACATACCCGGACAGCTACCGCCATTATAAGTGACGGCGGCAAGCACACAACCAGTATGGTTTCCGCCGTCGCTCGTAGAAGACGGCAACCTTTCCAGCTATAATAGAAGAATGGATAGTTGGGCGCGTTGGCGGGTATTCATTGTAGGAAACAGCGCGAAAAATAGACGACGACGAAGATGCACACAGTGTAGCGAGTATAGCTCCGCTTGTCTTGCTTCTTCACAAAAGTGGAAAGGCTGTTTCAATTAGGGAACCAAACCGGTTGTGCTAACGTTTCCCGCCCCCTATGCACCCTGGGAGGTATACGTGATCGCACTGACGAATGAATGAACCGGGCGATTTCTGGTTGTAGACTGTTCTGTTATTTTGCAGTCCATATATAAATAAGACTCGAGTTGTTCAAGGAGGCACGAGCATATGCACAAAATAAGTTCTAGTGAGGGACTCAAACTGAAACTTCTAATGGTTCTACTATGTTATCTTTTCTTCTGTATAAATGCAAATACTTTGACTTAGCCGTTTTTGGGTTCCGGTTACCTAATATTGGGTCCAGGTTCAAGGTTTCGTAAAAGCCGCTTAGTTTTGCTTCAAGCAAAATGCTGAAGACAGGCCTATAAAAGGTTCGTAAAATGTTACATCTGTACTTCGTTCTTCAGTACCTTCAACTGAGAAACTGGAGTTCGTAATGTGTAACGTGTGACCCCCATTATTACGAGAGAATACAAGTGAATAAAGTCGTTTTGACCATCTACTTTAGTCTTCTATTTTACGGGACTGTAATCTGCTTTAAAGACCGACTAACCTAGCGCATCTATTTAGTAACAAAAATGTCGAAGTTTTTCTTAAATGAAAATTAAGAAAAAGAAGTCGATTGATGGGGTATTTGTTTAGGTTCAGCTGAGAAATCAATCCAAACGAATTTTTTTCAATCTTGTTTTCTTTCCGCGTTCTATCCTAAAAATTAATCCCTAGCCCTTAACAAGGGTTCTAACTTGCACACCAGATTTAAGGAACAGGTCGGGAGCTTTCCCTATTGTATGCTATAATTGATGCAGCGAAGATCTTGAGTATAGCTACATCAAAATTCTACCATCAACTTGCACCTTTTGAATGAATTACAGCCTTAGGAGACCAATGTTGCGAGATTAATTAAAGTGAGCTGCACTAATTGTAGAAATATAAAATATAGATTTTCTGTATTATACTTTATACATAAACAGAAATATAAAATTCGATAGTTGTTGGTCTCTCTTCGTCTATTTCAGGAGATATTGAGTGCAAGCTTTTTTCAGGGTGTGAGAAATGGAAACTATGACCTTCAAACTTAATTTATCAGGTTTAGGTTGCGTGAGATGTGATATTTTTCAACTCATGACGGCTGCCTTCTGCTGCTGCTTTGGAGCTTTCTTTCTCAGTCGCTTCGTTTGTATTACATTTCTGAAATATCTAAAAAAACATCACACTTTTAAAGTTGTAAACATTAAAGATAGAATATATTTTCGCGCTATGTTTAATGCAAATGTATTATTATTTTTTTAATTTTTAATAATCTTTGCACGAAGTCAGTCTTTATGTCCTAATTAATTTAGTAGAATAATGACTGTTTTCAATCTTCCAGTACACCTGAATGAGATTGAACTATCTGCTTCTATATCTTACTAAACAATGTGGTTATTGTTGGTACTTGCTATGGCAGTGGCGAGCGATCATGTGTCATTATTGTAATTGTTAACGTTCATTGTATAGAAATTAGACCAGAGATGGCAGTAATGACATTACTGTAATGTAATTACAGTAATTAAATTACTTTTTGGAGTGACGAGTAATGTAATGAATTATTTATCTAGGCTAGAAATTTAGTAATGTATTGAATTACTTTCAGGCAGTAATTTCAAGAAAAGTACTCATTACTTTTGAAATTGCTTTTGTCCTAAATCAGAAAATTCATTTGCAAGCTTTAATAAAGAGTCAAATTATTTTTCATGGTGAAATGTTGTGAAAGAGCATTATAGGAAATAATTGACGGCCACCTGAGCGCAAAGCTTCGTACAAAGAGCTGAACAGGCGCACAAAGGATTGCTGGAATGGCGAAAAAAAAGCTTACGTGTAGACATCACTGGAAGGCAAAGGCTTATGAACGTCAGGCACGACAGATTCATAGCGCGCGTCATCACGACGATACTATACTTCCTTCATCCATAAGCTGGCAGTACGGTGGGAGCTGCAAGCTAACCAGAACCAACCAAACACCTACCTTTAATCACCTGTCTCGTTCCTTTTTCTGCGCGTGGGCATGAACAGGAGCGTGATTACGTGGCAAAACATACACATGTGAATGTTCCAACGAGCATGTAGCTTCCACCGCACTTTCAGCCTAGGTATGAACGGCTTTTTGGCGACAAGGCGAAGGTCACATCCCCAGTGAGGTCAACCCATTTTAAAACCTGAGAGGACAGGACCAACAGATCCCCAGTCTTGTACTTTCGTCAAGCAAGGTCAAACAGTAAGCGTCGACCATTGTAAACTGCAAACGACCGAAATAGTTAATTCCAAATGCCTTGTCGAAGCCCCAGAGCGTTTCGTGTGTCCTCAAGGAAAGCAGGTCCCGTCCGTGCTGTGCCTCGCTGCCTTCCCTTGGGAAGTACATTCGGAAATAAGCTGCAAGGAGATATCGCCCCCCGTTTATTGGGAAAGTACAGAATTCAGGAAGCTCGCGGCATTCCTCAACTGGCGACGTTTCGGATTAGAAATTATCCAGGCCCTTTGTGTGGCTATGCGCAAAAACTTGCGCTCTTCGGCTGTTTGGGAAAAATGCTCCTTCTCTTCATGGCAATGCAGTGGAGGTACAGTTACGCGTTCCCTCGCCCATTTTGAGCGCTGAATAAAGCCATGCGCGGGTTCTCCTCCTCTCCACTGCAATGCCAAGAAAAGTTGTTGCCGAGCATAGTAACTGCTTTTGGGAAAATAGAATTAGATTGCGTCTCAGGCGGAAAGGAAACGTTCCACGTGACGACTCCTTGTTAGAACGAGCTGCCATTGCCCGACTTAACAAATTGACACGGACTACAACTTCTAAATCAGGATGACGGAAACATATCACCCTTCTAGTAAAAAACGTCGCCGTTGAATGAACAGCGAGACCGGTGAGTCGACTGTCTTTCTGAGTCACATCAAAAGAAGCTATATTCATCATGTTAACACTTATGCCGTGTGCGCCATAAAAACCACACTTCAGTATGGTTCACTTAGAGGGACATAAGGTTGTTGCGGTATAAACAGGAATATCTGAGTTTTGGTACATATAGACCAACTCAGATGTTTGACGTCACATCACTGCGGTGGCGCTGCAGTCGGCACTGCGCATGCGCAGCGCTTCGCTTTTACCGGATTTGGTTGCTGCACGCGCTCTGTGTGGGCAAACGAGGGCTTGTTTTGTAAACACTGTGTTGTTGTATACGGTAAATAAAATAAGCAAGAAATTGCTGCCTCAAGGTTTCCAAATGCAATTTCAAAGTAATTTCATTACTTTTGAAAAGTAATTGTAATGTAATGTCATTACATTTAGTCTGGGGTAATTTGTAATGTAATACAATTACATTTTATGGAGTTTTCAGGAAAGTAATTAGTAATGTGATTTAATTATTCTTTGAAAGTAATTTTAACATCTCTGAATTAGACACTGCAAGTCTGCACCGACAAAGATACATTGATCTGATTTTAATTATATTGGATAGATGTAGTTCCAGGGTGTACTGTCGTTCGTATACAGCGGATGTTTCCGCGAATACTTCTAAAAGTTCATGAAAGTAGGGTGGTTAGGGAAAAATATTTTTCAGAACAAGCTGGCGGGCTTCAGAGATTTAAAAAGTTATAAGTATTGAAATTTAAATAAATAAAATTTTAGCTAGTGAAAATAAACACACGGTTCAATTAGAAACACACGGGAAGTGCGGGGTGCGCTAAACGTACCACTCGTGCAGCAGGTGCGAGACCGGCGATAAGAAAACGCGCATTGCAATCTTATCATTCGGGTTTTCGCAACATCGTTGCGTACAAAATGTATTTAAATATTTTAATTTAAACTGAATTGTAATACTTGCATAAAAAGCAACGAATTGTATTTCATGTACCTGCATTACAGGAGGGCTTGTGAAACCAGGGCATGAATATGATTGCTACTGGAAAGTCGCTAACGCTAGTGATAGAGTGTGTCGCAACCATGGTCAAGATGTAAGTAAAATTTCGACTGTTTCTTTATTATGAGCGCTTATGATCGGCCTTAAAATAGGTTGGCACAATGAATCAACGGTCAGGGCGGAGATTACAACTGGTGAAATTTTCTGAATACAAGTGGAATGGAGTGGCCGGAACTTTCAAATCTTTCTGTCATGGAGTGCTTCGGTAGAGTGTTCACGAACAAAACAATTAAAATATTCTGTTAAAATATTGTATCACCTTCGCTTGGCACATAATATTATTCACCGGCATATAAAAAAAACCAAGGGCTGTAAAATACTCAGTTCGCTCTTTTTCGCGCGACTTAAAGCGTGGTGGCGCCTGTGTGCAAATAGCCCTAAGACACTTCCAGTTCCCAGCTAGACTGCGGGTTTCGCTGTATTTGCGAGATTAAATTTACGCGCTAGTTTTTGGAAAATGGTCTCTTATATCACTCTTACAAATAATTGATTGTTATGGTGCAAGAATGATGCATAAAAATTGCTCAGACTGGAAGAGCGCTGGGGCTGCCGAATAGATGCCACCACTGAGTTTGTTGCCAAAAAAAAGGGCGAATATTCCTCAATTAGCATGCAAAATGAGAAACCGTGCATAGTAACGTGGGGTTGGCAAGCCCCTGAAGAAGACTCTCGGCGCTTGAAAAGTGCAATTGCGTAACATAAATGCTCCCCGCGCGGCTATCTCCTTTCGGATATGTTTTATAAAACTCAGTAACGAGCTTTATTTAGATGCCACCACTACATGATCAAATGCCACCCTTTCGCCGGCCCGGAAATCGCCAGCTTTTACCAATCTATTTTAGTTTGGACTGTACATTAGAATGTCAGGGAGTAAAGTACTGAGTGTTGAGGGACGTGCAGCTTCGCGTGTAAGTGGCACTAACTGCTAAAAATATATGCACGAGTGAAAAAAAAAATCGTGGCAAGAATGAAACATGGCAACACAAAGCTGAATCTAAATCAGCAGTTTATGAACTTTAAAAAAATAAAAGATTTCTTTTAAATCTTTATAAAGATGTGAGCTTCATGGACAGGAATAGTGTAAGCATGCGCTACAGTACAATTGTTTTACGCAACCGAACTCCAAAAATATCTTAAATAATTAAACTGCGCAAAAAAGAGTGTAAAGATCGGGTTTCCCCTTTTATACACACCCAAATAAAATAGAAGAATAAATGCGTTTTAACATAGGAAAGCTTATATCAATTGAGTCGTAAGTCTATTGTTAGCTATCTTATTCTTTCGGTGTATTTGCACGAAACTATAATTTAAAGCGGTGAGTCTGTGCTGTACCGCGTGCCTAACGTTTTCAAAACGTTGCTTTGTCCTTGATTTCCAGCTGGTGTATAGGATGCACTGCTAGAAAATGTAACGAAATTGTTTTCCCCGCGCCAATTATTGAGCATGAAAGCAACGTTCTTCTAAAATGCATGCTACTCTAATCTGCAGGGTACAGCAAGTTACGAACAGGTTACGAGTACCCCAATGAATTTCTTTTCTACTTCTGTTGCATTTGTGCCCAAAATAAATTGGCAATGGCTCAATGATGCATTTCATTTTGCCCTTTCAGGGATTTTTCTTTTTCAACTATTACACTTGTTCAGCACGATGTAAATCTGGCAACATCGAACGGCGACTCCCTCCCGGAATAACGTGCGGCTATCATCATCTGGTGAGATATTTATTATTAGGTCGAAAAATATTTTACGTTACCTTTATCAAGGATAATAGACTAGAACTTGCTGGAGCAAGGCCCTTCGTATATGGGAACGAGAGGGGGGAATTCTACGTAGTCATTTTTACCTGTTTGTATGCAAAGCAGAAACCATGTTTTCGTTTGTGTTCATGTTGAGCGGTTTTACTCTTCGGACATCTTTCTAAGGCATACACAAGCAACTGCAGCTAGAGCGCAAACGGCATCTGTCATGTCTTTGGCTCATAATCAAGGTGCGTCTCATGTATTTGCAAAGCGCACCGCAATCTTCCTGAAAGCAAGCCTACCAACTCGCTCCTCCCTCCACGAAGAGCCCAGGCTCGACTCCCCTATCTCAGCTTGCGGCTCCGCTCTCACTGGGGCCGGCCTCCTCCTTCGGCGCTAACATCTGCTCCAGTACCACAAAAGACGAATCACTATCGGGGCATCCCCTCATAATAAACCCCTTTCTTTCATAATCTTTCACAATCTTTCACTCTCCCCCCGTTCCCTAAACCAAAGGTGATATTCCAAGCTACCGTTACGAAAAACACTCCCTTTGCCTTCCCCTTTTTATAGTACTCTACTACTACTTCAGCAGATGTTCGTGCAAGGCTTTTCAGTTAACTTGTTGTGCCAAGACTGAAAAAAAGGTTGAGCTCTACTCGCGTCCAACTAACGCGGTATTGCTAACAGTCATTTTGGGAAAGTCAAGGCAGTTTCGCGACGTTCAAAACTGTTTAATTATCAGAATATTATTAGCTAACGTTTTGCTAATTTCTTTGTGGTTATCTCCTCCAATACAAAAGCTGTAGATTGTTTTGAGAAATATCATATTGTGTCGTTTTCATCAAAGCAGCCTTCGTGCATTTAGTTGTTTCAATCTATTAAGAAAGTGCGAGATAAAAAAAAAACAATAACAAATATCTCGAGACTAATGGCTCAGATATCGTAGTTCACCCGTGGCCAGTAACGTGAGATCTTTAATGAACCTCGCGTTTTATATGAAATTCTATAGATTCGACCAAAAAGGGCTACCTTGACGAAAACTACATGATTAATTTTTTCTTAGCAGGCACTGCAAGTTTTTTTTTTTGGAGGGTTTACCCAAAAGTATTTAACCAAGAAGTTAGCTAATCCAGCTCTATTTATCCAGCTTGCATATCGGAAAGAATTGGCTGTGGTGTCGGCATTTCACAAATACATGCTAACGGCATTGCATTTATGGGGCCTTTTTCCGCTCGAGCGCCATTTGGCGGGCGCAGCAATAATGCAACTCAAGGGCGCATTGCAATTTTTTGTGGTTATATAAAGACGTCACAGAGTCATGGAGCACTGCAATATCACGAGTCATCATGGTGTCGCACTAAGTCACGATGTTACAATATGTAGTCACCTAACGTCAGTGTCAAGTGGCGCCACCTGACGTGCTGCCGAATTTCAACGTTATGTCATGAGATGAAGTCATGTAACCTAATAATGTCAGTGCCACACGACATAGTATTTGACGTCGCAGTGTCATTTCACGGTGTCACCTGGCGTAAAGCTACCACGTGACGTTACCACGTGACGTGCTTCACACGCCTTAGTTCCACGTGTCGTCATCGTGTTCTGTAACGCTCCATGATGCGGCCCAAGTTCAGGATGCCACGTGACGTTAGGTTAGAATGTCGTATAAAAATACAAGTTGAGTGGAAGGGATAGAAGGATGTTTGAATGGATGACATAAATCGGTTTGTGGACGTATCGAGCTAAAGATTTACAAGAGAGCTGGCAGAAGAACGGCCATTAAAATTGTTCAAGACTCACTGAACAAATCTTCCAGAGAAATAAGTTGGAAATTAAAAACGGTGGCCGTGTGTTAACCAAAGGTGTCTGAGTTGTGCCACATCCGATAGACTTCGGCATCACTCTCCGCGTCGAAAGGTGGGGGTCGGCCGTGGAATGCATCGATTACCGCATTTTCAGCGTTAACTTTGGCGATGATACCAATGTTTTCTGTGGCTTGTTTTGAAGGTTTGACTCCTCGTTAAGGCGCCTCGCCAAGCGTAGTCTTGTAGGCGAGTCCGGAGGTTGCCGCCGAAGCTCCGCCCGAAAACGTCGGCCGACCTACTCCGTCCTCCGACACTTCCCGTACCAGAGAGCAACTTTCACTAGATCTTTGGGCAGAAGGAAAGAAAGCGGGAGTCATCAGCATTGATGCAGGCCAAAATTGGGAGAGCAGGGGTCCAGTCGATGGTAGAGATAAACTATAGTCAGTTACAGGTTAAGAAGGTAGCGGCAAATGCCCCTCAAAGGGAATCAGATATCCCTCCGCCACCTTTGCATCCAATAGCGTCCCACCGTTTCCGTGACGTCGCGGACAACGCGCGAAGAGGGTCTTGCTTTTCTGTACATATTTGCTTTATCTTTCGACTTTGACTTAGCAGTGTGGAAGCCACGAGAGGGAGATTAGAGTTCTCCCCCACCGACGGAAACAAATACGACTTTCGGAGATTAGCTTCCCCCCCGATGGATACAAAGGCTGCTTTCAGGGGCTCGGTTCTCTCTCCGATGAATACAAAGGTCGCTTTCTTAAAAAGTGGGATCGGAGACAAGTGGGAATCCATTGAAGCGGAACAAGGAGCGTTTCCAGTGAACTCTTCTTTCGACTGCGGAGAGATTTGAAACGGGCGCATCACACTTGTGGGAGGAGCTTCTCCTACCTTCTTGACTTGTAACCGATAGGAATGCGGCAAAAGGGTTCTGTAAACACGCCAGTGCACAGGGAAAAAGACCCACAGGGAAAAAGAACCTAAACACACAGGAAGGGACAAAGGTAGATTGGGAAGAGGAAAGAAAATACGTTAGACATACAATCGAAGCAGCATTTTCGGAGTTAGAATCAGATCAGGCCATAGGAAATATTAACACCGACACAAAACAAGAGGAGGACCACAGCGAAGAAGAGGAAATGACCACAGGGGAATGATAAAAAGCAAAAGAAAAGGTTCCGGGTGGAACTGCGACAGTTCCAGATGGCATACCGATGGAACTGATAAAAGTTCTAGGCAGAACAAGCAAATTTAAAATGGCGCAGGTGAGTGACGAGATAATAGCGAAAGGGGAGGTACGCAGTGACTGCAAATTTAGCAGGATGAGATTCTTATGTAGAAGCATGGGAGACAAAGACAGTATCAAATCATACCGACCTATCACAGTAACTGCACTAATATACAGACTAGCCATGCAAATTGTAAAGAGAAGAATGGACAGAGAGAAAGCATATTCAGGGGGAGCTTCAGAACGGCTTCAGGACGGATAGACGACTAGATGATAACTTATTTGTAACCACTCAGTGCTTAGAGATAGCAATGACAAGTCAAAGGCCATTATGGGTAGCATTTTTGGATATCAAAAAGCGACATATGACAATGTGAATAAGAAAGAACTCTGGGACCAAGTGAAGGTATATAGTCTAGGGGAGCCATGGTTAAGTTTTTAGAACGGAGAATAGGGTGGTTATAACATAATAAGCCGAAACTACAAGACCAGCAGCAATAAAAAGAAGACTTAGACAGGGTTGTCCATTGTCTCCCCTGCTCTTTATGATATACTTCACTGAGATGGGAAAAAAAATTAGAGCTGTGCAACCTAGTTTGTGACCTGACTTACATGGAGGAAGGACATAAAGTGAATCAAGTATTGCCAGGGTTAATGTACGCATACGATATTGTACTCGCGTCGGAAAGTCGTGAGAAAATACAAGAACTGAGTATGATTTGCAGCAGGGAAGGGGACAGTTTAGGCTTAAACTTCAGTAGGGACAAGTCGGGTAAAAATGTTTTCAACGATAAGAAGGGGGAACCCCTGGAGATACAGGATGCAGCGATAGAACACGTAGAAAACTACAAATATCCGAAAGTATGGTTAAATGAGGAAAAACGTATCTAAAAGAACATGAAGATATAATAAAGATGGCAAAACAAGATGCAGCCATTATGAAGTAAAGTACACTCTGGAACTATAATAGATATGAAGTTGTTAGGGGTGTATTGAAGGGAGTCACGGTGCCAGGACTGGACATTTCGGAATGCGGAATTATGTATGAACTCAGAAATCCTGGCAGGCTTAGAGATACAGCAAAGGAGTGTGGGTAGGTTGGCATTGGGGGACGATGGAAATACACCGAATGAGGGAGTACAGGGGACTATGGGCTGGGCATCTTTCGAGAGTAAAGAACCGATTAGTAAAGTAAACTTTGAACAAAGACTAGCCGAAATTGTGGATACATGGTGGGCAGGGAAAGTGTTGATATATCTATATGTAATAAGTCTAAACACTAAGTGAACAAACCGAACCCGCAAGCTGAGATTTAAACACAATCAACAAGATGGGGCCTATCAGAGCACATCAGTTGAAAGGGGAATAAAGAGAACAGTGGAAATTGTGGGAAGAGAGAATGCAGATGAAATTAGCCTTAACAATATATAATATAGGGCGAAAAACAAGAAATGAAGAAGGAACATTTGTATTACAATTCATTGGGCAGCTCATTGCTGTTTGAAGCATGAACGGGGGTGCTAAGAAAGAAAACATGTAGGGCTAAATTCCAGAAAATAGACACTCTGTGCCAGTATGGAACTGCGAAAGGGAAACTATAGAACATGTAATCTTAAGATGCACGGGGCTTCGTCACACCCTCTTGGGTAAGATGGCTACGGATCTGAAGGGGGCACTGTGACTTCCAGACAGGGATGGACGAATGGATAGGGAAAGAATTGCGGTAACTAAGGGAAGACTGGAAGATTGGTGAATAAATTTAGGCAGGGGTGTAAATACATATACAAATAAACAATGGTAACACTTTAAAGCGGGGGGTTGTGTTAAAATAAAATTTATACAAATTAAAAAATGGGGAATGACTAACTGTTAGTCTAGGTGGCGTGAGTTTCCGCCCGCTACAAAGGGTATAGCCATTACCATCCATCCATCCATCCATTCATGTTTACAAAATCACTGCCCAGCATGCAGCTACGAAAGGGAAACTATAGAACATATAATTTTAAGGCACACGGAACGTTTTCCCACCCTCTAGGAAGGGAGGGGGATGACTACTGATTTGTAGCGGCCCCTTTGATTGTCAGACATGGATGGACGAACGGATAGGGAAAGAATCGCGGTAGCTAAGAGGAGATTGCAAGATTGGTGAAAAGCTTTTAGGAGGAGAAAATACAGCTATAAATAAGCAATGAAAATCCTTTAGAGGGTATGGGGGGGAGGAGGGTTGTGTTAGGGCAAAATTTATACAAATCAAAAAAAAAAAGGGGGATGGCGAAATGTTAGGCTAGGTGGCGCAAGCTGCCGCCCGTTACAAAGTGTACAGTAATTACTATTCACACATCCTTCCTGCTAAGCGTAACAAGAAGATGGCTTCCATCTCTAAGCAGGATAGATAAAAGTTGCAGACAAGAAAAGAAACGCGGCAAAACAAGAGACTGCAAAGCAGATGATATGTAGCCGAAACAAAAAGAACGAATCGCTTCTAGCTCCTAAACCTCATCTGCTCTATTGTCGAGGCCGAGGGAAGCGTTCGTCGTGGCCGCCTGTAGATAGCCTTAGCTTGAAGAGAGGGTCCATCTCAACCCATTGGGGAGCGTTTTCAGTTCAATTCCTGACGCCTTCTGCAGAGTTTGGCCGAAAGTGCGCATACATTGCTTTTTGCGTGGCGAGAGGGAAAGCAGTCGGGAAGGCGGAGACGTTGGCAGACGGTCAACTCTTTCGGCAACCCACTCCTCGCAGCTCGTGTTGCTAATGCGACCAATAAACCACGCGACCCCGATTGAGCAGTTAGAAACTCTCTGTAACACTGGCTCTCTAGCCGCCTGCGACCTTGCGTATCGCCATCTGTCGGTTGTTGGCAACGAGATAGAGGGCCTAGAGCGAAAAACTGGCCGCTGAAAGTGACTCCCAATTGGCCACCGCCATGTTGCACATTTTCGACCCCTAAACACGTGACCTTATAGTTTTACGTCTTGATTTTACCGAAGTAGCGCGCACATATAATTGTTCATTTATCTTTATGACGGTAGCGACGAGATAACTAATGTCTCGTATGCTTTTAAGTCCAAAATGTTCGTTTACGGCAAAAAATCGGCATCTTGGCAATGCCTCCGCTATATGCCGTCAGCCGCGGTGCTGTATTTTGGGTTTTTATCGGAGCTAGACACTGACCTTTGGGGCTAAGGGCATCAAAAAAAAATTTTTATCATGTTTTTTTACACGATCGCAATACAAATCTCGGCTTAGTTCTGCGTGAAAGGTTCAGGATTTGGTACGGTCACGTGTCTAGTCAAAATTGTACTGCATGGCGGCAGCCAAGTGGGGGTCACTTTTGCCTGCTGAACGGGATACCAGTTTATCTCTCTAAGCCCCTCTACCTCGTTGGTTGTTGCGCCAATCAGATGCCTTTCATCAGCAGACGGACGCAGTAGGAAGGGATTTTAAGCTTTTAATTCCTAACTTTTTACGCAGGTAAGTTTGTTCAGTGAAATATGTATGCCCTTAACACACGTTCTTCGGACACCTGTTTACAAATTTTTAGCTCAATACCTTCTGGTAAAAGCGAGCGAGTTAAAAATGAATACTTAAAGTCGACATAATAAAACGCGGAGGACAATCACAGGAACCACCGCGTTCTTTCAAAACTTCTCTCGCGGAATAAATACATTCACAAGCTAATTTATGTGATCCCTTCAACGATCCCTTTGCTTAGCACTGTATATCCTTAAGTCAGTGTCATCGTGTCACGTGATATCACCATGCCCAGTACCAACATGGTGTCACGTGACGTTGCAGTGTTACGCGGCGTGATGTCCCCTCACATCGAGTGCGGGGGAGCGAGAATTTTTAAACGGGGCCGGCAGTAGTGAGCCTCCTCCGTCACCATGACAGCCTCCTCCAAGCAGGAGCTCTCTCGAATCTCCTTTGCACTACCCACCGGCGACTCATTGCAACCTCTAACTGCCGAGCCTTAAAACAAACTAAAAACATTGAGTATTTTGTTTATGCTGCGTACTCCGAGCTCACCGTTTAAAACTTCTCGTTACCCGGTACGATGCCAAAGTAGTCCTCACGTTAAGAATAAGGTTGAGACAGCTTTGAAAGCGTGTGAACAATTCAGAGCCTCCACGAGAGTGTTCCATCAATCACCCGAAGAGATTCTTCAGCGGCGAAGAACGACCTATTTCGTTCGGTTACTTTGCGGTGGCCAGTACATCGGCCAGACAGAAAGATATTTGAATGTTCGTCTCAAGAATCACTTTCTGGAAGCTTCAAATGCTTCCTCTGATTCATATCGTCACATAGTTGTGCATGCACGCTAGTAATGCAAAACTATCGATAAATTGACTATCGATACTATCGATAATTTTCCCAAAACTATCGATAGTACTATCGATAGTTTTTCGGTAGTCGACTATCGATAGTTCTTTTACTATCGATAGTCAGATTTCTGGCGGCTATGGAGACTATAGATAATGCTATCGATAGTTTTGCACCACTATAATAGAGCGAACCCAGTTGCTGCACCGCCGCTCGCTTCCCTTCCTCCTCTCTTCGCTCATACTCCCGTCTTCGTCATTACTGAAAGCTGAACCAAAGTTGGGATGGTAAGTGCTTAGGCTACTTACTGTCCCATTTTAGAAAAAAAAAGCGATAAGAAGAGAAGAGGGAGTGACGCAAACTACTAGTGTCGCAAAACTATCGGCAGTAAATCGTCGACAGTACTACCGATAGGTTTACGATAGTCGACTATCGATAGTTTTCTGATGGTCGATTAACCATAATTTTCCCATAGTCGACTATCGATAGTACAATCCATAGCTTTTCGATAGTCGACTACGATAGTACTCTCGATAGTTTTTCTATAGTCGACTATGGATAGTACTATCGATACTTTTTTTATCATTAGTGGTGCACGGGCGTGCACCACTAATGCACGCCCGTGCCCTGACTCCCCCCCCCCCCCCCCCCCCTTACCCCTGTTTGTCAAAACAGAAGTCCGAAGCTCACAAATCAGCAAGCTAGGAGTAGGAATGATTGTATCTTGCAAGATAAAGCGGTTCTTCAACAATGTGTCTAGGCATTCATTTTCGCCTTCGATAGAAGAGCTACATTGCTGAGCGCTCGAGCTGTTATAGCAGCCTCTTAATTTTTGTGATCTCCGCTGTTTCGTACTTTGTTCTCTTTTTCTCTCCACCTTAATTTCTTCTTATCTTCTTGGTCTTCTTTTGCCCTATGCGAATACCGATGGATATAAGTAGATCTCGTCGCACATTAAAATAATTGTGAATGTCTGTGTTCGTGCCCTTTCAATGTTTTTATTCGTTCTTTGTGTCTTGTTAAGCCTAGCGAGGGAAATAAGTGCAGTATGCAAGAGTAACATTGGAAGCTGCTAGTCATGCGTGAAATTACACCTAGCGAGAAGCATTATTTTATTGCGAAATAGAAATATGGGACTCAATTGCCTGTAATAGAATGAATTCATAGTTTTTAAGTAGTTTAAAATAGTGGATATGCCTTTGTGCTACATCTGGTGCATGTACTGACGTGAGTTGAGTACAGTGCAAATCCTTGATAATTATGCAAACGTGGACCAAGAAAAGCGTACTAACTTTGATAAAACTTATTTTGTTTCTTCGCAGGATTGCGTGGGTGAAATTGGTCAAAACGACGACCCCTTAATATGCTTAGGCTGCACACATGATGTAATCGATAAGCTGAACAGATGGCAGTCTGGGTGAGCTATCTGGGCAGTATTCTGGCCTCTGGTAGTAGAGGTCAATCCAGACACCATTGACACTGCATATAAAAGTGTCAGATCTGATTGATGTCATGGCAGAAAGGTTGAGGTTTTTTCTTCCTTTTTTGTGATGAAAATAAAAGGCTATATTTTAAATTTTGCTGTGTATTATAGATGAACTACACGCGGTGCTTTCGATCAATTAAAGTAATGGGGACGTGCAGTGTCATCATAGAAATGACACCGCATATCACAAACGAGAAGGCAAACGAAAAACAAATACGCCCGTTTATCAAATTCGTCTTAGCTCCACCTAGCATTTGCACATCGTTCACTTGGATGCCGATAACGCGCAAATATCTCAATGTGGGCTAAGGAATTGGCATTGGACGTAAAACCGAGTTTTGGAATGCTCGATATCGTCAAAAGCCTTCAGATCATTCAAATGTTAGCTTTTCATTATTAGCTTGATTTTGAAGCAGCCCAGAAAAGGCAAGGAAATTGATCAATATTGGCTTAACATTGGGTAACGTGATCCAATATTTGGACTGAATTGACAATATGTGCATAACATCGGTTAATATTGGCACAAATGAGAAATGATGAGGCGGCGGATTACTGAATAAAATGAACGTTTGATGGGGCGAACTTGTGCCCAAAACAACAAAAGAGAAGGTTAGCGTCGCAAGCGTTGATGTCGGCGAAACAGCAGGGTCCGAGTGCGGGGGGAAACTGACTCGGGCTCGCCACGTAGAGCACCTTTTGTACACCCGTGGGATTCTGGAACAATCGGCATAGAAGATTCGGTGCGTAAAACATTCTGACCTCGAACGGACGACAAGGTTCTCGAACTTACGGGAACGCTAAAGGAAAGAATAAAAAAAAGACGCTCGGCTCCCAGGAATCGAACTCGGGGCCTCCGCACAAAAGCCAAGCACCGTAACCACCCGGCAACGCACCCCCTTTCTTTTTCTTTATTGCATAAAGCAGAGAACACATATCAAATAAAAATAAAAATGTTCTGCAAAGCTTTGGCAGGGCATGTTAAAAAGCTTTCATTTCAGTAGATCTTTGCAAGGTCTAGCCATTCGGGCTTCGGCTCACGGGTGGAAAAAACACTTTATATTTGTTCAACAAGGTAAAACAAATAAAACCGAACTTCTTTGGTATTGGTATCGGCGTTAAGCACTGCCATGCGTAATCGCCATTTGCTGCACAGTCCTAAAAGTCGGCCAAGCATCCGCTTGCTCAGCAACGCGCGTGGCATTACTCCCCTCTTTAAAAAGAGCATTGTCTCGATGCAAACATTCCGATCTGCTGGAAGGGTGCAGTTGGCGGAGGAATTGGCTGCAGGAGACCCGCTGGCACTTGTGATATGATCGAGTGTATAGGTGGGCGGTTTTGGGGAGCTTGGGCCAGAAATACTTTTCTCAAGTACGGGCCAGTGTCCGGCTCTAACCAAGGTGTCCGGACGTCGGGTTGTCGTGGCAGGCTTGAAAGATCTTCTCTTGGAGGACTAATGTTCCTTCGACAGAAACATATCACCGACACTCAGTACGCACATTGCTCGTTGTAGGGACATTTCGCGGCACATGTATGACTGGTCGGCCAACCTTTTCACTCAGTTTCGCGGCGACAGTTTATGACGGGTCATTACAAAAATGTCAGCTCATCTGGCCCACCCGTACACGCCATTTGCGGCCAGAGTCTGGTGTGACTTATTACCAAAATATCTAATCATAGCTGTCTATAAATCAGTCTGTTGATAAACGATAGCGTGTCAATAAAACGATTTGTCGATGTAACGTCGTTCGATGATCGGATTGCAACCGCCGATAAGGCATCAGCCATTAGAATTTCGGGGAAATTATTTTTCCAGCTGCCGGGCGAGTGGACACTGTAGCCTAGAAATGCACCGGTTCTTGTTCGCTTTGTAATATTCTCAGTTGTATAAAGGCTTAGCAATACCTGTTCACATTTAACATATCGCTTGCACGTTCGCACTCGTCTACGGAATTGGTTGCGTGTAGTAAACCTTAACGGTGATATGAAAACCATCTTTTGTGTTTGTTTTCCGGCCTATTTGCAAGCACCTTTGCGAAACATACGTTTAAAACACCAAACCTTCCGGTCTTAAATACCTGCCAGACGGTAGCTATTCAGGCTAACAAATAATTTGCCTGAATATCCGAAGGGCGAGTTCAAATCTCTCAGCAGATGCCAGATCGAACAAAGCTCGTATCAAAGGGGTACCTTATCAAACGGGTAACGGATCAAACGGGTACCGAATCAAACGGGCACCGCTTCAAAGGGGTACCGTTTCAAATGGGTACCCGTGCCCTATAAGCAGGTTTTATATAAAGGGGTCACCAAGTTTGCCACCCGTTTGATTTAAACGGGCCGATCAGTTTGCCACCCGCGTGAATCTCAAATGTTGTTTTATTTAGTAAGAACGCCATAGGAACATACTGGTTTGGGCCTAATAATGCACACAATCAACGTATCATAGCATCGGGTGCTAGACAAAGGCCCAGTCACACCTTAAATTATGCCAAGCAATATAAAACCAGTTGTACAAATGTTAGTGGCATGAGGTTTGAAAGTAAGTTGGCAATCGACTAACCCACTCTGGTAACACCAGCTCGAGTAACAGTACTGTTTTCCAACTTCTACTTAAAATGCCAAGAGACTCTATACGTCATGAAAGTTAGACAAATTGCTTCTCTTTTCGCGTTTAAAAACAATCGGTTCAACGAGCATCATTCAGAAATATTAAAAATATCAGACTGCAACGTTTCGTAGTCTGTTCCTGAACAAAGATGTTATAATAACTTTACAGTTATTATGACTATTACTTATAGATGTTTATATATATATATATATATATATATTCATTGTTATTATAACTCTTTATAATCATTACAACAAAAACTTTGAGAAAAGATCTGTCACAATGCAAAATTTCTTCTCTTATTTGAATTGAATATATTTGATTTCTGCGATCGGTTGTAATTTGTTTTTTGTATACAGTGTTAATATTTTGCGGTTGCCTTGCATTTTACTTTGTCGTATGGAACTTTAAGAGAGAAGGGGGCTCCGTTAGGCTGTTAAACAGCTTTTTTTATGTTTCCTCAATTCCTGTATTGATTGGGAAATAAACTTTTCTTCTTCTTCTTCTTAATAATATTAATGTGTGAGCCAGACTGCAAAACCCGCAATTCGGTCTGGCAATCATCGTGCCCACGCGCTCAAGGACCGGCGCGTGCAGTTGTTCTTGGTCGCCTCGGCGCGTTATGCCGCCATCTAACCCAGTTCTCTCTTCATTAAACCTTTTTATAATCTTATCTGCCTACCGGTCCTCACATTTGGCGCAGTCGACAGCCAACAATACCAGGGACCCCGACCGCCGCTCGCCCGACCGCTTCGCCTGCTCGCCTTGCCTGAATTTACAGTCCGAAGTACGTAACCCGCCCTGCCTCCCTTCGTACTTCACCCGCCCGCAAACGCAAGCCCACCTAGCACCCGCCAGCCACAATGCCACTTATAAATTGGGCCGAAGCTACGGCCGACAACCTCGCCGGATTTACGGTGGATTTTCTCCGAAATGAGCTACTTCGTCGGAACCTCGAAGTTACCGGAGCCAAGCAGCACATCATCCACCGCCTCCTCGCTGACATCGCCCAAAACAGACCGCCAACGCCACCAGCATTGCTCCTTCCCGACCCTGCGACTTCGGCGCATTGCTCGCAAGAGTCATTGCCTCTTCAGACTCTAGACCCAGCGCAAAGTACGCAGCTGCTGACAAGTTTGCTGCAACAATTACTCAACATGTCTCAACGCCCAATGGCCCCGGTTCAAGTAACGACTCTCCCAGATTTGTCCGCGTCGCTGCCGACCTTTAGCGGCGACGGAGGCATCTCTGCCCGACACTGGATTGAGGAATTGGAACGAACACAAGGACTGGCATCCTGGGAACCTTCGACGCTGCTCGCAGTCGCCCTCGGGAAGCTTCGTGGCCCGGCAGCCGACTGGAAAGTCGTCACTGGCCGTCAGTGCCCAACATGGGATAGTTTCAAGATCGCGTTCAAAGCGCAGTTCGACGACAGGTTATCCCTCTTGCAGTGGCAGCAGAAGGTTACCTCTCGAGTACAGTCACGTGGAGAGAGCCTGGTGGACTACTCTCTAGCAAAATTAAAGCTCATCTCCAAGTGCCCACTCGTTCTGACCGACGTCCAACGTATTGAGTATGCTATTCAAGGGGTTCAGGACGGACACTTTGCGACATCCATTGCTGCGCAACGCCCTCCAACAGTCGCTACGTACATGGACATTGTCACAGAACTTGACCGGACATTAAGCCACTCCAATCTTCGACCGAGCCGCGCAGAGAACTCAAACGCCAAGCCTCCAGTTGCCAAGCCGTATCCGGCATCTACGCAGAGTTCGCTCGGAGCAAGCATTTCAGACAGAGCTGACCACATGCCCGCATCGCCGTCACGCATTTCATCTTTCCCACCAGATGAACAGGATGCTCGCTACCGTATGATCACTTCCAGACATGGAGCCCCTGCCTACCGTCCCGGCCAAGACTTGAGCAACGCCGTATGCTACAACTGCCGACAGAAGGGTCATCTCTCTGCCAAGTGTACTGAAGCAAGGACTTTACGTAACCGTCAGCCAGCTACCTCCAAGGCCAATATCCCTTCCATGTCGTGCCTTCAAGACCCTAATTCGTTTGAGGGCTCACTGGTCCAGTGTGCAGTGATCCAAGCCGACATTCCTGCCATCGGCAAGATTGACGCTTTCCCGGACAGAGGGTGACCATACTGTCGCACGATGTCGTCAAGTCCTCAACCTTGCTACCGTGGACGAAGCCACCCATTGCTGTCGTTGGTGGTGGTGCGGCCGTCCCATCGGGTACACTGTGCACACGCATCTCTGTAGACCCATCTCTGCAATCGTTGAGGTGATGGTTCTTGCACGCAATTCCCTGCCATTGATCCTCGGCGAGGACTGGTTTGAAGCAGCCCACGCAGAACTTATCGTGAGACAACCTAACCCGACTGAG